CCTTTTTTTTTTATCACCTTGTTCCTCTCTGGAATGTCTTAACGCTGTCCCTGGAAGATAATACTGTCTGTATCTAATGAGCTAGAAATGTTTGTTTTCTCCTGTTACTCTCCTCACCTACCCACAAGAAAAAGGTAAAAGCCAAGCTATGCGTTTATTATCTAAAGCATTATGTGTGTGTATTTGTATGTATTTAAATAAGATTTTGGCTTAGCAATGTTTACATATAAGTGGCTTAGGGGTAAACTATTAGCCTATCAAATTTCATAAAATGTGATAGGTTGTGTAGTTATTCCTTCTGTTGGAATAGATATGTGGTTGAAAGACACAAGGGATACCGCATGTCTTTCCAGGTGTGTGACGGCTAACGCACGACAAAAGCTGATGCATGCACGCCATCCTATCCTGGGGTAGCTAGTGTATCACTCTACAAAATTACTAAGTTCCTAAAAGAAGCAAAAAGGGATGATTTAAGAGGGACATAACAAAAAATACATAAATTTAATGACAACTGTAGTTAAAAGGATTCATTCTCTAATAAATAGTTGAGCATACTCTGAAAAAGGGGAGTATTGATCAAAAAAACAAAAAGGTGAGGCTGCAATCAAGGTGTCAGCTGGGGCTCATGTCACTACTGGGGCGGGATGTGCTTCTGAGCGCACTCTTATGGCTGTTGGCACCCTCAGGTCCTCACCGGCTGTGGCCGGACATTGGGCAGTTCATAACAGGGCAGCTTGCTTCCCTTAGAGTAAGCTAGAGAGTGTCCAAAACTGATAGCACGGGCTTTTGGTCACCTAATCTCAGAACTGACACCCATCACCTTTGCGCATTCTGTTCACTGGACATGAGTCACCACATCGAGTCCACGCTCAAAGGGAGAGGGTTACATGAGAAGTGAGGGTCCCTGGGGACCATCCTAGAGGCAGCCTGTCACAGAAATATATTTCATTTAATCCACTATATAAAAATATTATACTTTAGCATGTAATTAATATATAAAAAAATTACTAATAGATATTTACTATTTTTTACTCCGTCTACAAAATACAGGCTGTATTTTACACTTATAGTGCATCTCAATTCAGATGCTGTATTTTCATTAGAAATACTTGATCTGTATTTAGATGCCATAAAATTCATAGGTGTCAAATAGATCCACATGCCCAGGTGGTTCCAGATATGTGTGTTTTATAGCCTTTGAGTCAGCTCTGACCCTGGTGACCCTGCGAATGCTCATGTCGATACTGTCCTGACCTCGACAGCCACGCTCAGCTCCTGTCATTCTTACGTATGGCTTCTTTTATGGAAGCCAAGTTTCAAATATATTTCAGTAAGTAGTCAAGTATCAGTTTAAAAATATGATGTACCTTTCTGCCATATGGGAGCCTGTGGAGGTGTCGGGAACAGGACTTCTGTAACAAGTATGTCTGGACGGCTGTGGTCCGAGGCTACCTTTGCCGACTGTGAGTGGGGTTGCATGAACAAGAGGGAGCACACAGCCCTGGCCCTTTTGGCTCAGTGGTTAGAGACTCAGCCTGTGGTCCAGAGAGACCCGGGTTCGGTTCCCGCTAAGGGCATGTACCTCGGTTGCAGTTTGTCCCCGGCCCTGGTTGGGTTGTGCGGGTGGCAACCACTCGATATGTCCCTTTCATGTCGATCTTTCTCTCTCTCCCTCCCTCCCACTCTATCTGAACAAAATATGGAAAAATGTCCTCGGGTGAGGATAAAAAAAAAAAAGAGGGAGCACAGAGCTCTTCTTCAAACTGAAGGTGTTTATGCTCAAAATGAAACTGAAGTATCTCTAGGCAAGAGATGTGCTTACATGTACAGATCAAGGAACACAGGGACTCCTGGTGGCAAATCGAACAAAACCAGGGGCGTCTAGGGAAAGGAACCGCGTGGCCCTGGAAACCGGCACAGCCTGTGGTAACTTCTGAAGCAACCTTCCCTCCAAGGCCACTGGACACAGAATCTGTGTAATGCTGTACCCTGCAAGGACTTAAACTGAATGAGAAGTAAATAAATAAAATGGACTTGTTTTCTTGAAAAAATAAATAGAGTAAAATAAAATAAACTAAAAAAGTTGTTCCCCAGTGACACTAGTCATGTTTCCGATGCTCAGTAGCCAGGTGGCTACCATACGGGACAGCGGAGTACCAGAAATCTGGCTGCGGAAGGAAGGAGGGAAACTAAACAGTACTTGGGAGGAGCAGGGACGTGGATATTAAGATAATAGAAATCCGTGCATTTTGTGTGTGTGTCCTGGGGAGAAGGAAAGACATCTAAGATGATAGAAACACAGGGTATGACCGATGTGGCTTTGGGTTATTGGTCAGATTTGAGTGGAGGTGCCAAACTAGGGATGTGATGAACAGCTGGTGATAGAGACCTTCTGTTCCAGGTGTTCAAGTGCAAACACACTGAGTGTGGGAGAATGAAACCAGCAGCGTTTTCCTTTTTTTTTTTTTTCGGGTTGTCACCCTATTCATCATTTTTTCCTAGTGTGTATGCCAAGAGAGAGCAAGGCACTTGGAAGTGGAACCATTTCCCACGAGCCCCAGAGGAAACGCTTCCCTGACCAGAAGGCTTCTCGGCATAGGAGGCGCTCCCTAGGAATGGAAGTCCTGTCCTTGTCATTCTTTCAACCAAATATTGTCAGTTAGCTCAGCCCCTGTGCCCTGCTCCCAGTCCGAAAAGATCTTGACTGAGGCCTCCACTTTCAGTCTCTGGACAAAATGATTATGCAGAATTTCTGTGTGTCCGAGGTGGAAGGGGCCTGGGGTCATCGAGTCCCATACCTGGATTTTACTCTCAGGGATTATTCAGATGGCTCTTGTGAAGGCTGTGGTGAGGGTTTGCTGCCAGGTACTGTGTGCTTGGGGAAAATGATCTTAATCTTTGTAAACCCCAGTTAAATGGCAGTGGCGACTGCCTCGTGAGATTAAATGGACAAAAAGCGCCTGCCCAGTGCTTAGCAGGAGATGTTCAGTAACTGCTCATTGCTTTCTCCTCTACCACTTGCCTTTGCACATTCATTTTGTTGCTGTTGTTAGTTTATTTTGTATGAATGTTTCAGCTCCCAAAGGGACGAGGTAGTGTAGTAGTGAAGAGGCTTTAGCATCCGGCAGTATAGGTTTAAATCTCCACTCCACTACGTATAGCTAAATTCCTTCCCCTGCCTGGCCTCAGCGTCCTCACGGGGAACGTGGAGATGGTAGCACTTCCCTCGCACCCCGCTGGGAGGATGAGCTTGTACACATCGCACACTGAGGCCAGCTTTCAGCACCTCGTCAGCATTCAAGGGGTTAGCTGCTGCTGCTGCTAATGTGATAGTAAAATGGGATCAAAGCTATTTGTGGGTGTGTCCTTATTGGGACTTTGGAACTCACTTTGGGGACATGAAGGCACTAGCATTTAACAAGTTCTTAGTGTGATGTGAAGAACACCGCTGCCTCTGTACTTGGTGCACTGCGTCAGTGCACCTGAGAGGTGAGTTCCATTTTCACAAGTGGAAATGCCACGCGGAATCAGGGTGTCCTTTCCTCGCATTCGTCATGGTCCTCACTGGGCGAGGGAGGCTACAGCCAGGGCGTCCGAGCTCTGACTCCCAGATTGTTACCTGCCTCAGGGAACTTACTGAACATCTGGGCAAGATGGAGTCAGTCTGTCCTGGTTCAATCCCGAGTGTCATCCCCGCCCCCAATAGACAGAGGATTTAAAGTTTTCCTGAGGATTGAATACTTTTACTCTTGTGGGTCTCTTTGGATTTCTCATTCCTCTAACTGGTCACAAAACAGTTTGTGTTACAAAAGTGTTTGATACCCAGCAACCCAACAAGCTTACAGTGGTATGGATTCATGGAACTGATATAACCCTCCTTTTCTTCCTCCCTCAATTAAACCAACACACACGCGTAGAGCACCACAACTTGTGCTGTTGCGGTTCCAGCTGCCAGCAGAAACCGAGACGGGCCAGGTCCCCACACTCACAGAATTTTCATTCTAGAGGCCAAGACCAAGGGATAAACAGGTACAGAAGCGACCAGGGATGGTATCAGATAGTGGCACATGTGAGGAAGATAGAGCAGTGTTATGTGAAGGGTGTGCTGAGAGGGCTGGCACCTCTTTTGAGAATATCTCTGTGAGGGAGAAATATTTGATCTGAACTCTGAATGAGCTCAAGGAGCAGATAGTTGGAAGGTCTGTGGTTAAAAGCATTTTGGGCAAAAGGGACAGCAGCGCAAGTCACTCAGCTGTGGGGGGACTGGGTCTGAGGGAAGGGGGAGAGGCGGTGTGAATCACGCGGGGAGCGGAAATAGTGCTAGCAGGGAGGCGCAGAGGTTGGCAAATGCTAGTGGTTTCCTAGACTTCAGCATCTATCAGGATCCCTTGGCCGGTGGTCGAACGTGGATTGAGGGCTCTGCCCCCAGTGTTTGATTAGGTAGACCGGGGTAGGGCCTGAGAAGTTGCATTTCTTACACGTTCCAAGGTACTGCTCCAAAATCACACTCTGAGAACACCAGGCCAGCTTATCTGGAAGCCAAGGACAGAATTTGGGTTTTATTTTCAGTGCACTGGGAGGCCAGTGAAGGATCCGAGGTATGATGTGATCTGATTTACGTATTTAAAAGAGCACTCAGGCTGATTCCAAAGACTGTCACAGGGGTGTCCGGAATCAGACGCCGGCCAGCTAATAAACATCTCTTATTTGGACTTGAAAAAAATTTTTAAAAAAAGAGCACTCTGGCTGCTACAGGAAAGACGAGTCAGGAGGCTGTTGGCGCTGTCTGAGCTAGAGGTGACGTCTTCATTGCCAGGCAGTAGCAGAGGAGCTGCTGGAACTGCACTGAGTCAGGGTTATTGGAACTAGGCGGTAGGGACAGAGGGGAATCAGACTGTGCCTAAAGCTTTTGCTTGAATTAACAGGGTGGTTAGTGTCGGGTCACTTGCAGAGGTGGGGAAGGTTACTGGGGGAGTTTTGGATGTGGATAGGCATTGGAAATGGAGAGGAGAATCAAGAGTTTTGGTTATAAGATACCTACGGGACATCCAAAGGGAGATGATCATGAGGTTATTGGGTATGGCAAACCTCATAAATAGGTCAAGGTTGGAGATGTGAATTTCAGAGTCATCAATTCGTAGATAGTATTTAAAGCCACGGAGTTGAATAAAATCACCTGGAGGTGATGGTTATAGAAAGAGAAGAGAAAGGGGCAGAGAGGGAGCTCTGGGGTGCTCCAGCATTTAGAAATTAGGCAAGGATATGAGGGCATTGGAAGTTGAAGAAAGACAATGAAGAAGGAAGAAACCATATTGTCACACAAAGAAGTAAAGGGACAAGAATCCCAAGCAGAAAGGTTTGGGCAGCTGTTAAATGTGCCCTTATTGGAACTTAGGATCTTACTCAAATGTGGCCAAGATCAGACAGATAATTGTCTATTACATTGGGACACACAGGTGATTGGAGACCTTGACAAGAGAAATGTCTGTCAAGAGTCATATAATGACTTGTGTCCTTGTTGCCTTTCATTATTGCTTATCTTTTAAAAGTCACTCGATATATTCACCCTGGTTTGATCTTAGACTCCTCAAAAAAGAGACTTTCTGTTGTCCTTAACTGCATTCCCTCAAGCGCTTGGCACAATGTTATACCCACCATTGGAACACATTTTTGTTTAATAAAATTTTTTCTTGTTTTACTTAACTCAGAGAGACACTAAGAAATTGTTTTGAGAAACTGGCCTTTACAGTTGAAATGTGCATAGGTTAGGGGCCATCAAAACATGGCCAGTTATTGTGAAGAACTGCCTCATGAGCAATGATCACATAGCATCTTCTGTTTGGTAGTCTTCTGTACTGAGAGCAGGTGGCTGTTAAATTTCCTTTTGATCACTCAAACGTAATACTTAAATTGCCCACGGTTTAATACTTATTGTTCCATTCTTATATTTTGAACTCTGTTATATTAGAATTCCAGTCTAAGATCAAAGCCGTATTTTTGTATAGCACTTCTAGTGAATCTCTAAGAATACTACTACATAAATACAGCAAACACATGGGATTCTGTTGGACTGCAGTAGCTTATTAAGGATGTGGGTATACCTCATATCCAACTTAAAACTTTGTTTTCAAACTAAGAAGAGGTATTTGCGTTGATTTCTGTCACTTTATTTCCTCTTTTCATTTATTTTAAGATGTTAATGTTGACAGGGATGTAGTAATGATTACCATGGACAAATGATTTTTTTTATCCTCACTCGAGGACATTTTTGCATTTATCTTCAGATAGAGCGGGGGTGGGGGTGGGGGGGGTGAGAGAGAGAGAGAGATACGTCGACGTGAGAGAGACACATCAACTGGTTGCCACCCACACAACCCCAACCAGGGTCAGGGACAAACTGCAACCAAGGTACGTGCCCTTAGCGGAAACCGAACCCAGGACTCTCTGGTCCGGGGGCCAGCACACTCTAACTGCTGAGCCAAACTGGCCAGGGTAACAAATGATTTTTGAGGAGCTTTGTAAATCAAATAGTAGAAATACCAATCAGTAGTAATAGCAGGAGGCCAATTGAATGCTGCATGAAGATGAAGTTTTGACATTTGATGTATATTACCATGTAATGTGAAATTGTACCCTAATTTTTATCAGAGAAATTGAGGATAATACTGAGATCATTTTAATCGATAAAGCCATGATTTACTTAAGCAATAAGTAACTGTGGCTGGTTATTTTTAAGGCTTGTCATGAATTTTTGCTCGGACCTAGCGTCTCAAATATCTCCAGTATAACCTCCTCTCCACCCACCCTCGTGTGAAATTTGCTATTGTTTACTGTTAAAGGTAGGAGCCTCTGAGGAGTAGAAACTAATAGTCAAACTAGGCCACTGGTGAAGAAGAGTTTATGTGAAAAATCCCTTGGGTGAGAGAACTGGTTCAGACATTCTTGTTAAAAAAGTGCAGGGACTCCAGTGGGAGGTACTGCATTTAAAAATACGAATGAAGACTAGTATCCTGAAGCAGTAAATTATAGTTGTTATTACATGTTGATTTGTTCCTTTTTTTTTTAAACCATACTAGGATTTCTTACACTTTGATTAGGTTATAACCTTTAGTTATTTTTACTGTATCTTTGACTTTAGGGTGACATTTAATTTTGTTACTGCTGCCAAATATCTCAACCAAAAAATTAAGAACATTGGGGGAGATATGCATAGGTCAGAGGTCAGTTAAAAATCTTTGCTGGTGAATAAAATGTAAAATAAGTGAACAGTCGAAAAGCTACTTAGGATTCAAGCTAAATCCAGGCCTCTACCTGGTATCCTTTTCACTAGTCTATACTACGTAGTCAGCAAACTTGAACTAGACAGACACATTTCCAAACTCTCATTGAAATGGGTCACAATTGGTAACCAGCGCATAATTGATCCTACAGGGCTCTGCTTGTCTAAATTCTACTTTTCTTTCAAGAACTGAGTCACACATTTCTTCTCTTTGAAATATACCTTGAGACCCGCCTCCACACCCCCGCAGAGCTGGTTTCAGCTTGCTCTCGTTGCTCTGAAATTTCAAGGTCACCCTTCTCTGCCTTGTGTTCATTATTTACTTAGTTCCACATTACACCTTCCCCATGGGGTTTCTAGTTCATTGTGGAGGGATCTTGGTCTGATTCACAGATGCTTTCCGATTTTCAGGACCACAGGTACCAAATGTTTTATCATTTGAAGCAATACCAGGGAACATTAAGACGTTCTCAATAGAAGTTCTGTGTAAATAATATTTCAACTAGTGCTTTGTCCTGTCTTTTTAAAGTAGATTTATCTTTATTAATTAGAGATGGGTTTTCATCACAGACTCAAAGAACCTTAGGAAAGCCCAGCCAGTGTGGCTCAGTGGTTGAGCATTGACCCATGCACCAAGAGGTCACCTGTTTGATTCCCGGTCAGGGTATATGCCCAGGAGGTGGGTCCAATCCCCAGTGGGGGGCATGCAGGAGGCAGCCAATTAATGTCCTGTCTCATCAATGTTTCTAACTCTCTCCCTCTCCCTTCCTGTCTCTAAAATCAATAAAGAAAAAAATATTTTTTAATTAATTTATTTTTGTTACAGATGTTTCTCCTTCCCCCCCGGCCTCCCCCCCCCCCCCGCCCTGTCCTCAGCTTTGTTGTCCATGTTCATTGTTCATGCATACAAAAAATATGGAATGCTTCATGAATTTGCATGTCATCCTTGCTCAGGGGCCATGCTAATCATCTCTGTATTGTTCCAATTCTAGTATATGTGCTGCCGAAGCAAGCACAAGAAAAATATTTTTATGCCCTGGCCAGTTTGGCTCAGCGGTTAGAGCGTCGGCCTGCAGTCTGGAGAGACCCGGGTTCGGTTCCCGCTAAGGGCACGTACTTCGGTTGCAGTTTGTCCCCGGCCCTGGTTGGTCGTGTGGGTGGCAGCCACTCGATGTGTCCCTTCACGTCGATGTTTCTCACTCTCTCTCCCTTCCTCTCTCTCCCTCCCATTCTATCTGTACAAAAAATGGAAAAATATCCTCAGGCGAGGATAAAAAAAAAAAAAAAAAAAGAAAAATATTTTTAAAAAAAGAACCTTAGGAAATAAGATAGCCACAGAACATTAACACTGTGAGTCAGAGGAGTTCATTGCAGTGTGCAGTAGACAGGGAAGACAGCCCAAGCTCAATCTGCACCTTGAAGGATAGATAACATATGTAAAGACAGAGGGGATGGAGAAGGCATTCAAATGGAGACCAGGATGAGCAACACTTGGAGATGGGAAGGTGCCCGGAATGATGAAAGCAGGCTATCGGAATGTCATGGTGGCAGGAGGAGGTACCTTTCAGACCTTCCTTCACTGGCATGCTTTTGAAAGCCAAGTCCACTGTGGCCAAAGTTGTTCCTGATCCTTGACCTCCTTGCCTTTGGCATCGGGCTTCTCTTCTGCCCTTCCCTAGGAATCTCTTTTAAACCCTTAAGTTCCCAGTTATCCCTTGCTAATAACTCCAGTATGTATTTTTTTAATACTGATCTTTTTAAAAAAAATAAATACAGTCAATTAATTTTAAAAATCCAACACAAGTAATCCTGATATAAAAATTCATTTTATTCCTTGGTGATAAGAACTGTTTTCCTTCTCAATTGTATGCCCAAATAGCTCATGTTTTGTGGAAAGTATTCATTGAATTAACTCGTTCATTAAGTATGAGTGGCTACTAAGTGGCAGGTGTTGTCCCAGAGATTCTATTCATTTGCAAGCATGTGACACAGGGCAGTGGAGATAAGTCTGTGTTCTCATGGAAGGAGATAAACAAGGATGTTAGTTGCTGATAAGCCCTAAGGCAAAAAGTAAAGCAGATAAATAGAGGTGTTATGGTAAGGTCAGGAGGAAATCCCGTAGAGGGTCCTTCCTGAATCAGGAATGTTCTAGGTGTTTTCAAGGAAAAGGTAAGAGTCATCAGATTGGAGTGCAGTGAGCCCAGGGAGCCTGCCCACCAGGGAGAAAGTGGGCAGAGAAGACTGGAGAGGCCAGAGGTTTGCGAGGAGACAGTGCAGGACTCTAGATGTTATTCTGGGTGAGGTCTGAAGACTTCGGAGGGTGTGACTTTGGAGGGTGTGAGAAGCACAGTGATCTGATTTACATTTTCCAAGGATCACTGTAGCAGCTGGGCTGGGACACTAAGAACAGAATGTAATGCGACAACATTGGGACCAGGGAGACCAGTTAGCTTGAACAGAGGTGTTTGGTGAACAAGGCTGTTGGTGGACTCTGGTTCTATGTATCATACAGTATAGAGCTGGCAAAATTTATCAATGGATTGAATTGAATGTGTATGAGAGAGGCTATTTTTGGCCCAAGCAACTAAAGAATTGTGATTTACTGAGATGTGAAGACTTGGCGTAGAGAAGATTTGGTTTGGAGAAGCTGGGAAGAGGAACTGGAAGTTAAATTAAGTTGGAAACTCTAGTTAGTCATCCAAGTTCAGATGTCAGGTAGGTGTTAGATTTACAAATCTGGGGTCGAAGAGGAAGAGCTAAGCTGAATATTTGGCGTTTAAGATTTTCTTCATGTAGAGTTTATAAAATGCTTGTTATATTTATTGTAACAATTAAAACATTTATTTTGTTGCTACTGTAAAGGAGCTTTTTTTTCTTTCATTATATTTTCTGACTTGCTTTTGCTTTTGTCTATATAAGACTATTTACTTTAGCATGTTATCTTGGTACCGAGCCTTCTTACTGAATTCTCTTATTTATAAAAGCTTTTTAATTGATTCACTTATTTCTCCTTTCCTTTGACTTGTCTGTAGAATTTTACCAAACTGTTCAATTCAAGAAGTATACTTTGCCCTGGCCGGTTTGGCTCAGCGGTTGGAGCGTCGGCCTGCAGTCTGGAGAGACCCGGGTTCGGTTCCCGCTAAGGGCGCGTACCTCGGTTGCAGTTTTTCCCCGGCCCTGGTTGGGTCGTGTGGGTGGCAACCACTCAATGTGTCCCTTTCATGTTGATGTTTTTCTCTCTCTCTTTCCCTCCCACTCTATCTGAACAAAATATTGAAAAATGTCCTTGGGTGAGGATGAAAAAAAAAAAAAAAAAAGAAGAAGTATACTTTTTTCATGGCTCCATCTGCTTTCCTCTGCCTGAAATATCGGTTATTTTTTATCTTTCTTTTCCCGAGTTTCCCAAAACCCAGCTCATATTTCCCATCTGCAAAACATTTCTAGATTCCTAAGAAAGTTCCTCTTCCTGTGAGCTTTAGCTGTACCATTTGCATACCTATGTTAAAGCAGTCATCAGCCTTTATTATAATTTTGTATATATCTGTCAGTCCTTTTGGAGTACAAACCTTTTAGGGGCAGGATCTGGGTCATGTTGTTACTAGAAAGGGGACCTGGCCCTTAGCATGTCTGCCTAGGGCCCAGCTGGCAGTGTGTGAGTTCTTGACTTTGTTTCAGGAAAAACTTCCCGGCATGAGTCCGGGTGGATTTTAGAGTGCATTTAGTAAAGCTGGGCACGGTGAGACAAGGGTGGCTTAGGAGAACCCGAGAGGGACTAAGTGGGGAAGCGAGCCTCGGGGGGGCTGCTTTGGCTCACTAAGAAGTCAGAGTAAAGGGGCGCTTGGGGACAGGTTCAAGGGTTTTGACCAGGATGAACTGCTGCTGCCCATTGCTTCCCTGGTTGCAAGCCTCCTGGGGTCCCTTATAGTTTAGGCAATGCCTGTGGGGGAAGAGGAGGAGGGGAAAGGCTGGGCTGTGCTCTGGGAGGGAGAGCAGGCATTGGGACCTTGGTTTTGAGGGGTTTTAAAAGCTGGGAGTTTAGAGAGGATCTCAATGGAATATTCATCAGTTGATGCTGATGTACCAAAATGAGATTTATTTTCTGTCCTTGGGTGTGGTTGGCAAATGGCACTAAATGGATTTCTGCTATCTGTCTCCCTAAGTAGGGTGATTTAAGCTATGTGTCCTCTGGTTGGGGAGCAGAAGTGCCAACCATTTAGAATTTTTCTGGCTTCTTACCATTTTGCTTCAATATCAGGTTTGCATCCCGGGTGTTAGGCTAACTCTGCCACATGATTGTCACAGGATAAATGTTTGTTGAATACGTGAATGGTCAATTTATGCAGATTAAAAATGTTTTGAAATTGGTTCAAGTTTTTCTTCATATAGATTTTACGACCTTGTTATTTATTGTAACACTTTTACATATTTATTTTTGTCACTGTTGAAAAGGAAATATTTTCTAAAGTTTTGTGTATCTTTGCAATTATACTCCTAAAAATTCAAGGCCTGTTATTTTAGAAAATGAATGTAAATGTAGGAACCTTGCGTCTTTTTTTTTCATAATGCTGAGTACATGAAGGTGGTTGGATTTGTGAGACCTTAAAATATGAAAATACTGAGGAGATGGATGCTATATGGTTACTTACAAAGAAGCCCTTTTTCTTGTTTGATTTGTATTATTGCCTAGAAAATAGCAAGTGGGAGGAATTAAAGTTTATATTTTCTGAATGGAAAGCAGTACTATTGTTTTTCCAAAAACAGACTTTTATGAAGGTAACATTTTATATTTCTTTTCTTTTTTCAACTCATCAAATCACTGGATTGGCCCCTGTGAATTTTTTCAGGGTGTCTACTGCCTATTTCTATTATAAATCTGTTAAGGGGTTGCCCTAGTAAGTGACACTGAAATATGTTTACTCGAGTAATTATTTGTAACATTTTTCATTGAAACAGAACTATAACTTATCAAATAGCCAATCAGTTTATTGTTCATTGCTAAGTACAGTGGGAAATACAGCATGCTTCTTTCTTGTAAGGAGTTATAAATGTAGGCAGAGAGATGAAACTGGTACCCAGAAAAATATGTTACATTTACAGAATCTGTCGCATGTTGCTCTACAGGGGGAGACGGTGTAGGGGAGAGGGTGGTTCCGAAAGCTACACTTTGAAGGATAGGATTAGGGTTTATCTGGTCAGAGAGGTAGATGACACTGGATCAGAAACAAATAGAATGAAAGACACAAAGTTAAGAGCTGTTATGCAGTGTGAGAATGAGATACTGATCTCCAATCTGAGATAGGAAGAATTTTTCTAATTTATCTCACCAAAGAAAACATTCTACTTTTGCTTTGCTATTGTGAACACACATTGATTGAACTTAATGGAGGCAAATCTCAATCTCTTTGTTATGTTTCTCTGTTACCAAGTGATGTAGGCATATTGTTGAGAATAAACAAACAAACAAACAAAAATGTGCTGATAAAAAAGGCAAAAAAAAAAAATCCTTAGTTACTTTTATTATTCTTATCGAACTAATAGTTCACATGTTGGTGCACTTTTTTCTAGATGTGAAAAACATATATGCGCACACATTTTGTTTTTGTTAAATTAGATCGTATTAGAAAGTTATTTTGAAAATACATATGTTTCATTTTCTGTCTTTTGTTTTGGTTTTAGGAAAAAAACAAAAGCCAAGGCACCACTTCCTCCAGCTGAGACCAAAAACTTTGATGCCTCTTCAGTTGATGATTCTGTAGAACCCTCCACTTTCATCATGGCACAGAAGGAGAACATGACAGACAAGGACATTGAACTCTCAGTGGTTCTCCCTGGGGATATTATCAAATCTACAACTGTTCATGGCAGGTATGGTGGAGCAGATGAAACACCACGACCTCCTTTCTGCCGTCGCTGAAACCTTCTGGTGTATATTTCTTGATGTTTTTCTTTTTCTTTGACAAAATACTTCATCAGTCAGTTTGGTTATCTGTTTAAAAAAATACATGCTAAAAGGTATTAAAATTTTTCTAACAGTGTTTTAATATCAATACTATGAATTCCACAATCCCAGTTAGGTGACTCTTAAAATTTAGAACTGTTTTATATGTTAGTCATTTAATACGTTTTTTTTTTTTTTTAAATAGCCTTTCCCAGAGGAACAGTCATCAGTTGTATTGATTTTGTAAATCAAACTTAGAAAAGCAAGCCAGTGACCTATAAGAAAACACTTTCTCTTCCTCTCTGAGTTACTTTGTTTCTTTTAAGCTATTTCCTGAATTTGATTTTGCAGAAGTTACTAACTACTCTTAAAATGGAATGCTCTCTTATTTATCAAAACAGATAAATCTGTGAAATAAGCCGGGTATTTTTTTTTTTTTTTTTGCACCATTGAATGATTTGGTTTATTTATTAAAAATATGGATTAGTTTACTAGACATATAAGGTTAAACTTGAACCCAGCAAGAAGTGAAGATGTGATTTAGGAAACTGATATTTTTTAATACATATAATATACAAATTGGAAAAATGGAATCAAACCAAGTGTAATTTTCCATTTGATTTTCAAGTGGAAAGTTACAGGAGTTGTATGCCTGGTCTCATTCCACCTTTCACCTTCAACACCCTCTTGTTATCAGGAATCCTGTTTAGAAATTTAAGCTGTTTTGACCTTCGCATAGTGTGTGTATGTGTATGTATGTGTGTGTGTATGTAGATCAAAGGAATAAGTAAGCAACATATTGGGTATCACATTCTTATAGTGTGGTTTTATCTCAAAGAAATGCATTCAGTATAACCTTAATCTTAAAATGTATCATCAACGTTATGTGTACCTTTTACAAATTGCTGAAAGTACATGAAAATAGAAAAGTTCAGCATTAGCAAACAATACTTAGTGTTGTGTATTAAATTCTCATTAAATTAAGTAAGTTGCATTTTTGCCATTTATTTTGTATTGCAAACAGTTTGGGAGATCACTTATTGAACCCTATTTAGAAGGTTGAGGAACCTGTGACTGCCTCAGGTGGGCTTCTACCTCAGGTGCAGGTAATCAGCTAGGTTGTGCCTCTGCTGGGTGAGGAGGCTTCTTGTAAGTTAGAGACAATGGCCATCATCTGCAATCCTTGAAGTAATATCTTTACCCTGGTTTTATTTTATTTATTTATTTATTTTATCCTCATTCGAGGACATTTTTCCACTTTTTGTTAAGATAGGGTGGGGGGGTAGAGAGAGAAACATCGACGTCAAAGGGACACATCGAGTGGTTGCCACCCACACGGGGACAAACTGCAACCGAGCTACGTGCTCTTAGCGGGAACCGAACCCGGGTCTCTAGGGACCACAGGCCGACAACGCTCTAACTGCTGAGCCAAACCAGCCCTGGCTACCCTGGTTTTAAAATAACAATGACAATGGATGTGACTGGGGGTAATAAAGGCAATCTCTTATTTTTCCTCAATTCAAAGTGAGTTAAAAAAAAAAAGTCAGCATTTTTCTTAGTTCTTCACTGATGCTGACAGGTCACAATAGTTTCATTCCCAGAACTTCAGAATGTCTTCCTGGATGTACCACTCAGGTGCTTATTTTGCCGTCTTCTCTGCTGTCGGCCTTCTGCATTCTTTCGAGTTTATTTTTTAAAACTTCAAGGACTTTAGTGTTAGAATCTTATTTTCTCTTTCTGTCCTGTCTACCATTATAATTGTTGTAGACCTTTCCACATGCCACCCTAAGCTAATTTTTCTCCTGTTTCCTTCACTCTGGGAACCTCCGTTCAGTCTACGTGCCTTCTCCACCACAATGCTGTATCTCCTCACTAAAAGCCGTCCCTTTACTGAGATCGTAGGGTCCTTTGAACACAGCCTTTTTGACATCTAGCTTATCCACTTTCTCTTTCTTAGATTTTTTTTTTTTTTATCCTCACCCGAGGACATTTTTCCATTTTTTTGTTCAGATAGAGTGGGAGGGAGAGAGAGGAAGAGAGAGAGAGAGAAACATCAACGTGAAAGGGACACATCGAGTGGCTGCCACCCGCTCGACCAACCAGGGCCGGGGACAAACTGCAACCGAGGTACGTGCCCTTAGCGGGAACCGAACCCGGGTCTCTCTGGACCACAGGCTGACGCTCTTTCCGCTGAGCCAAACTGGCCAGGGCTAGATTTGTTCTTTATCCCTCTTATTAATTCTAATTTATGACTGCTATTCAGGTTGCTGCATTTTCCTTCACATTTCACTTGGATCCTGCATTAGTCATTTCCACTACGTGTGTACTTACAAGGGCCCTAGATTTTTCTGTCTCACCTTCCCGCATGTTTGCCTCCCAGGTCCCTAAACCCGAGTAATTTCCATCAATCAGCTTTTCGTTTCTGGGCTGCCAACTCCTGTTGAATCGCCTCAATTTTCTTATCTATAAAAATGTTTTATAACTGAATTGTTGTTAGGAATAAATGAAATACTATCTGTGCCTGGCACATGCTGGCTTCTTTCCTTCTCTGTTGAGAACTTCTTTTCTTAACCCTGAGCTCTGTTTACCCTCCACCCTCAGGTTAATCTAAACACCCCTCTGTTTATGGCATTATCTTTGATATTAAAAACTATATATATAAAAACTGCAGGGACAGTAATCCTATCCCAATTTAAGTCCAAACTACACCTGATTTTCTTCTCCTCCAAAATTAAATAGGCTTTTCCTTCGCTCCTCCCTTTTCAATATCTTGAACTTGAGCCTCATGACTCTTTGTTCTACAGATACTCTACTTTTCCACCTCCACATCTTTATGAAAGTTTTTCCATGTTGAGTACCTACCATCCACATTTTTTCCAGTTAGTTTATGCAGCCTTTAAATAAAGGCTCCCTGATCTCTCCAGAATGAACTGTTAACCTATGACTTCCAATTTTTTGACACTTTATTCTATTGATGGCTATCATATATTGTCCTATGCTATAATTTATATGTATGTAATATCTTTTTGAATAAACCTTGAGATCCATGTGGACATTATTACTTTGCTTCATAGTGCTTGGAAACATATTTGTGCAATGTAATTGCTATTTAATAAACTCATTTACATGTAGACAGAGGTAGCAATTACATGGTGTAATTTGCAGAGATATTTAGATGAGCTCTAGTTGCTTTCCCAGGATCTTCTAAATAAAGATATTTTCTCCAGGTAGAGAGCAAGGCGAGAATACCCTAAATGGGAATGCCCCAAATTTTTACTGCTTTTTATTTTTTTTTCTTCATTGATTTTGGAGAGAGAGGAAGGGAGAGGGAGAGAAAGATAGAAACATCCATGAGAGAACATCGATTGGCCGCCTCCTGCATGACCCCCACTGGGGATCGGGCCCACAACCTGGGCATGCGCTCTAAGCTGGAATCGAATTGGCGACCTCTTGGTGCATGCATGGGTTGATGCTCAACCACTGAGCCACAGCAGCCGGGCTTGACTGCTTTTTAAATTTTGTTTAGTGTTGAAAACTTTTTCTGCGAGTATAATTTGTTTCATTTCAGTGGGGCTTTTGAGTATATTTAAATTTTTAAAATTGCATCGGATGTACATTGTTATATTAGTTTCAGGTATAAAACCTTATGATTAGACATTTATATAAAATTTGGACCACTTCAAGAATTTACATGTCCTCCTTGCACAGGGGCCATACTAATCTTCTTTGTGTTGTTTCCATTGTAGTATGTGTGCTGCCAAATGGAGCGCCATATTGGTGTTTTTTGAGGGGCTTTGATTTAGGGTCTTTGTTACTAGTAGTTTAATAATTCAGAAATGACTCAACCCATAGACACTATGACTAGTTTTTTAATATTATTTATGATTTGAAGTGGTTATGTGATTTCAAATATTTTAGGGGTTTGAGTCTGGATTTCTTAGTGATTCTGGATACGGAATGCAATTTGGGATATCTTAAGAGTTTGACTTGGGGTATCTTGAATGTTGCAGCTACTGCTGGCCCATTGTTTGAAAAAAACTCAATGTTTAATGATGACAACAACAATAAAAATGTTCAAATAGATAAATACATTCTATTTCTGAGGAATGTTAGCTATCTAACGTGAAGCCCCATGACATAGGTTATAATTAAAATTTCTTCTTGGTTTTGTTAATGTAAACAGAATGGGAAAATTTTCAACAGTATGATATAGGAATTGGGTGGTGGGGACTAGGAAGAGTAATTCTAAATAAGTTTAAGTGCATAAGGTTATCTTTGATAAGAGTTTCAATTTTTAGCAAATAACAACCATCTTTTTTGTTTTAAAATATATTTTTATTGATTTTTTAGAGAGAGAAAAGGGGAGAAAGATAGAAACATCCATGTGCGAAAGAAACATAGATCAACTGCTTCCTGCACACCCCCTACTGGGGATCATGCCAGCAACCCAGGCACGTGCCCTGACCCAGAATTAAACTGGGACCTCTCAGTCCATTGGACGATGCTCAATCCACTGAGCCACACGGATGGGCAAGAGAGTCTTATGTCACTGTGAAGGATCTCTAATTTTTGAGATAATCTTTTCTGAATTTGTTTAAATATTTCTTGTATATTATATTTACTTTGATAGTATATCTATGAATTTTTTTTGAAGAAGAATATCAATATTAGACGAAAATAAATATTTAGAGAGCTAACATGTTTCATTTAACTTTTTAGAATTTTTTTCAAAATGTATTCTTGGGGAAAGTTTTTAAAAAGTTTCCATGTCACCTTACGTAAGTCATGCAGAGGTGTGCTCAGGATGTCCCATTTGTGAGAATGTGGGGGCCCAGCGTTAGCTTCAGAAGAATGCACTTATTTGTACATTGATTTTTTTCACCAAAGAGATTACTCACATTAGGGAATTCAATAGGTTGGAGGTGGTAATAGACTTTATGATCAGGGAAAAACTAAAAACTTGTTATCTTGAATTGGGTTGGCAGTCTTCTGCTGTCTTACCAATCTTTTGGTACTAGAGCTTAGTGATACTGCCTCTTCAATGACCAGAAATCACCCTGTGTCTGCCACCTTGCTTTTGCCATCCTTTAGTTACATTGAGGGTAGCTGCAGTGACAACTTAAAAACTGTTGGGCATTTCTGTATATCCTGACATCACGGATGACTGAATTGAAGGAAGGAGGAATTAAATATTTTATTTATGCACATGGTATATTGTAGTACAGGTATATATGTGTTTATGTATATTTGTGTGTACATATGTATATATATAGGTAGATATACATACATGAGATACATATATCTATATGTGTGTGTATGTGATTCTGGTGAAGTAAAGGACCTTTTTCATCAGATGGGGCAGCTCTGTGCCTTACAGACAATGAACATGAAAGGGTATCGCTGTTGTTAGAAACAAGCCACTGAGGGGTTGCCCGCCACCCTCTCAGAAAGTGCTACACTCTGCAATAGCCTAGGTGCTGGTGTCTACCAGTAGTTGAGAAAAGTTAAATTGTTAATAAAAATGAGCTCATAAGCTAAATGGTTATAGATATTAGAAAGAATAGGGAAATGTGTAGATACATTTTTATATCACTCTAGGTCCTTACCTTGTAGTCAGGAATCTTCCCAGTATGCGGTTATTCCTCACTGAATAGATATTCATTCCTTTTTCCTCTTTTCTCTTTCTCTGGGACAATTTTAAATAAGTTTCAGTTTGGGAAATTTGGTAAAAGATTGACATTAGCCCACAAGAGACCATACTGGCACACTGTCTCCTACAAGAGAAGTAATGCCATGTACAGCAGGAGGAGGTCTCTCTTATGCTCCTACTATGGAGAGGAGTTTGTTTGACTTTGAGCGAATCTGGGAATGCCATGAATGAAAACACAAATAAAAAAAGCATAGAACTTGACGTTTGAAATCCCAGGCACTATGCTTGACTCCATATCTTGCTCTATGACCTTAAGCAAGTCACCTTAATTCACTGGCCTTTGCCTGTAGAAAGACCCAGAGACATGTTGCACACCATGTGTGACCTGATTAGCTTGTCCAGTAGCACAAATTTATAGCAGAGTTGAGGCTAATAATCCTAAGGTTTTGACTTGCTTTTATGGGCCAGATAATGAGCTCAAGTGCATTTTACATGGAGTACAGTGCCACCTATTGGAAAAATGTAGACTATGGAAGATGACAAGACAATACTAGAACAATGTGGGTCATTTTTGTTTAACACACCCTTGAAATCATTACTCATTAGGTGGGCTAGCTTAAGACAGAAGACCATCAGTAACAATAGGAATGTTTTAAAAATCCTCGTATCGTGACTGGTAAGTCTAATTGGGTTGTCGGTATGCATTTTTAAGAGACAGAACTAATTCAATTCAGTTGTTTTGAGGATTTATCGAAAGTGTGTAAAATATTTTATTAGATACTCAAGCAGATTTAAAGACTCATGATAAGAACTACTTTTATGCATACAGTTCAACCCTTTATCAGATGCTTCAAACCCAGCTGTTAAGATGATAAGTACTTACCGTCATGCATCCTCATTTTCCTATGACAGTTCCTATTTGTACCTGCTATCCCAGAGTAATTACTAATAGTGCCCCCTTCCACTCTCAGGTGTCCCAGATTGAATGATAAGTTAATAGCCACCCTATGGGTAAGGGGCTTCGTTGGAACACCTCCAGAGTTTGGAAGTTCACCGAGGCAGATGTTGGTACATCTGGCTAATCTGTAAGCTTTTTGGTGAACATGTCGCATTTTCGATACCTAGTGGGATCTTTACAACACAAAAGTGGATGTCTTGTCTTATATAGCAGGCACCAAAACTAGGACAAGATTACCCCTAATATGTGTCACATATGCAGAAAGCATTACCAGCAGATTTAGGGGGTGGTTTATTGATGTCATCAATCTAGGAAGTAAAAGTGTGGCAGATAGCCTATAGTTTGTGGTAAATCATCTGTCTCGTTCTGCATCCTGACTGTGGTACTGTATGGCTAAAATATCGCTGAAGGAGTGAGTGCCGTTCTAGGAGTCAGGACCTTCTAATCCCGACTGCTTTCTAATTATAATGTGTTCTTCATCTGCTCATGCAATTTCTCTAACCTCGATTTTTTTCATTCATAAAGTGGGAGTAGCTTCTGTGGTGATTGTGGACTCAAAGGAGATAATATATATAAAATTAATACAGAGATTGTTATTGATTTCGAAAAGGAAGTGAGAAATCCCATAGAGATTTCTCCATTTCAAAGAAGAGTTTTTAAAGAGTCTTTAAAAAATCTGCCCTACAGTACGTTATTATTTTACAAGATAAAAAATATGTCAATATTAATGCAAAGAAGATTCTGTTAAGTAATATAATAAACCAATATTCAAAATGATGTGGTAGTAGAGAGAAGGAAGACTGTTTCTTAGCTCAGTGAGGAAGTGATGATTGAGTTCAGCCAATCCTTTTCAACTTTCAATATTTTGGCTGGTGTTTCTGGTAGATTTCTGGCATGTGCCTCCTGACTTAGGAAACAGGAAAATAAGCATCCTTCCTGTGGTGATCCCGTGGTCAAAACTGCTGGCCAACTTCTGTTGGGTGCACCAGCTCCTGATAATTATCCACAAACCAAAATTGTTGTTTTTGGTAGAAGTAATTTAGCATCTGGGTGGATAGTTCTAAACAGCTATACTCAAGAGATGATTTCATTTCTGTGGGTGCACTTTGTGACTAGTTAACCCTGACAGAAGCCCTGTTGAATGCAGGGTCAGTTTAAATCTTAGTAATTCCCATCCTCAAAATCATCTAGATTAGGATCATCTCTTCTGTGCTTTTAGTACCAAATGTCGAGGATTCAATTAAATAGTTCAAGCACTCCAACTGGTCTGAGGCTGTTTAGGAGAAGATCTTAGCCCGACTTAATGCTTTTATCCCACCTCTATAAAGACGCCATGGCTTTTGACACAACAAGGCTACTAGTCAAGTTTGTTAACTTAAAAAACAAAATGAGTCACAGCTTTCTCAACTACATGTTTTTTAAAGCATGTTAACCTTCTTTCAACAACTTTGCCTTTTTGTGTGTCAGTAACTGTACAGAAATCTCAGTTATACATTGTCTGCTACGTGTTTCAATTCACGGATGCTTAAGCAGAATTCCCTACAGATAAATAATCACTGGTTCCTATAATTTCCTCGTTCAGTGACATCGACCTCACTGTATATTAGGTCCTAGGAATAAAGATTGCTAAAAGGTGGTCCTCCTAGAGAGAAGTTCACATCTAGGTATAAATGGAACCCAAGTAACATCTTGAGGTCACTCTGCTCCTTCAGGTCTAGATAAAATTGCCTGAACCCCTATTCTACTTTTTTGTGGAATGTTCAATCCCTTTTATAAGATTATGGTAAATTCCCCAGGGTTTGTGTTATTGGAGTCACATCTGGCTTGAACTTGATATATTATTTTTGGTTTTTACTTTGTAACTTTTGAAATTTTCTTTGTCTTCTTGATTTAATCCCTCCCAAATCTACCAGGACTTTGGTGATGGTTCGTGGGTCACCAAGGAGAGGTTAGTAAGCATGCCACATTGCCAGTCATTTAGATTAACATAGAGGCCTTCTGCTGTGCCCTTTCAGCAACCCTGCCGCTTTGTAGGGTGATCCTGGCCTCTCCATTGGCTGGCTCCTCCTCCTGTCTCCTGCATCTTCTTACCCTTTTCTCCTGTCAGTTCCTTGCAGAATATATCTAGAATCTGCCTAGTCTAAGACACCACCATCTCCCAC